GCAGTCAGTCTCCAAATTCCTGTTTTGTTAGAAATATAATTAAATTCCTGTGCATGACAAGAAGTTGCTATTTATTAATCCTAGAGCAGACTAAAAACAGGGAGCAAGCAAATAACAAAGGCTGGAGCAGAACTGATCAGCCCAGCCAGGACAGAAGAAGTTCAGTGTTTACATGATGAAGTTACAGTATTAGGCCTCAATCCATCAATATGCTCCATATAGGAGTCAGGAAGGCTACATCTACACTGCAGCACAACTACCGAAGGTATCCCAAAATAGCTATTTTGCATCTTTTGAGCACGCATGTTATTTCAAAATTGAATAGGCTTTCCATTCCGACATCCCTATAAACCTCATTGCATGAGGAGTAAGGGACATTCGATTTATTTCAAAATAAGTGCTGTGCAGACAGCACCAAATTTTGAAATAAGCAACATTGAAATAACATATGCAATGTGCATAGCTCAAATCACATATCTTATTTTGAGCTACAGTGCCGTGTAGATGCACCCCAAGTGCCCTCATGAAACTCATTGCTGGAGCAGGGAATTCATTATTCTATAACCTTGAGTTATGTTATCTTAAATATTCTTATTTTCCACTCTTTTTATCTCCTTCATTCTCTCAATAAATCCAAAGACGAGGATAAATCCTCCCCTTACAAGAAGACTCAACCTACAGGGTAACGCCTGAATGCTTTTAGAGACCAACAAACCACAAAGCTGCAGCTGTTAGAAAGAGAAGCAGCAAAGAACAGAATTTTCTCTGACTGTATAAACAGCATATACTAAATTAAAAATGCTGAAGTACAAAGCACAGTATTTGCAAAATATTTGCTTAAACTAGTACATCTTTTGCAGAGAGCTAGTTTCTGTTTCTCATCCTTTTATGATCAGGAATCAAATTTCTCCTTTTGTGATTATTTGCAACAAAACTGTTTGCTATGCCAACCCAGACACAAGAGACAGGGAACACTGGAGAAATACCACTGAGAAGGAATATATAATAAAATTGTTTCTGATTATGAAAACAGTGCTCAGCAATTAGGTATATTCAATGACACAATCATGTTAATAGTTTGGTTGTAACTAAATGTGTCAGTTTTTAAAAAAATTACTTACATTATTTTTTGCCGGCATATTAGTATTTTCCAGCCAACCATGTTAGCTATTCTAACATCATTGCAAGGTGAAAGCTTCTTCAGCAGTGCTACTGCTATCACGCCACAGATGGAAAAGAAGCTATTAGTCAAATCTGTCTACCTACTAATCTTACCACACAGGCTGAATTTATCGGGGACTATCCCAGATGGCATTGCTCAGTTCTTCATTCAAAGTGTTTACCATTGATGTGGTGTCTCATTTGTAGATCAGAATTTAAACCAGTCTTAGCTTGTGTGTATACACAGTATAGACAAAATAGGTACTGTAGATAAGTTCCATTTCTGTAAAGAAAACATGATGATACCTATGTCTTATGTAGAGCTTTTCATCAGTAAACCTTCCCTTTACAAAAGAGGAATGTACAGTAATTATAAAAGATGGAACAACCCCCTGGATTTGGGCCCAAATGCAGTAACTCTGAAATAAGGAAAACCAAAACATTTGGATGTGACCGTGCCAGTACCAGGGTGTGACTCACTGCTATGGCACCCACTGCTGGTCATTCAGGGAATCAGCTGTGCTGAGCCCTAGAGTGCCCCCTTCAGGCTGGTGTCTCACCAACTGTTACCTGTTTGTATTTAATGGTTCTGCCATCTTACATTAGGATCTGCATCCCCCCACACTGCACATGCACATGCATCACCCTTGAACCATGGTACTGCCCTGCTGCAGTGCCCCCATGCTCTGAGGTCTTCCCCTTCAGGGAACCACACCTCTCTATACCCAACTTGCCTCGCTGAGCCTAGTGTCAGTCATTTAGCCCTGTTTCAAGGGCAAACTACAGTCTGAAATGGCTCCTTATCATTGGAAAGGGAGTGGACCTGCTGCCTTCTGCTGCCCTGGCTGCCTCCCCTGTAGTTCTAGTAGCCTCAGGCCCTGAGAGCAAGGCCAACACCTGGGAGTTTGCCTGGCCAAAGCTCCCCAGCCCTGCCTGCCTTTTCCCAGCCCTGTTCTGTCTCAGAAAGCCTTTAGTTTCCCTGGCAAGTAGGTCACTCCTGCTCCACAGCTGGAGCAAGAATAAACGAGAGTCTCCATCCCTTAAGGAACTCTTATTTATACAGTCCCAGGTGGGCCCTAATTGGCTATATCTGCCTCAGCTGTGGGCTCCACCATCTCAGCCCTCTCCCAGGGTTGGATTTAACCCTTCTTAGGCCAGGTTGGGACCGATGGCCCATCACACACCCCACCTTACAATCACCACCCCTGAGGGTAGGGATGGGGGTTTCCTAGTCAGTCAGAGGTGCCCCTCCAGGGCCATTTGCTTTTCTTCTTTTCTTTCACCTGACCGCACAGATGTGCATTCTTCTCTACCATGGCCTCCTAGTCCCTGGCCATGTCTATCTCACTCACTTCTGCCTGGCAGCAGGCCTTTTCCGCTGCCTCCAGCCGCACACACAGGCCAGAGTTCTCTGGGCCCTCTGTCTTCTGGGTCTGGGTACACATTATAATCTGTCCCATCACTGTGGTGTTTATCCCAATATCCTGCTGTGACTTCTGTCATAGACACCCTCTCAGACACCTCCCGTAGTTGGCTCTCAGGCAGGTCTACTGCCATCACCGGCATTGAACTTGACAGTTTGTAACCTCCTGGAGTCCTTAGGTACACCAACTCTTGTCTCTCCTGGGAACAGGGCCAGATGGAGGCACGGGCGAGCCAGGCAGTTGCCCAGGGCGCCAACCCACGGGGGGTGCCTGATGGCAGTTGTAAGGGGTGCACAGTGTCCCTTACAGCTGCCATCAGGAGCCCTGCGCCCGGCTCCCACAGCACCGGCTCCACGGCGCCAGACAGCAGCGCTCTTGCCCCCACGGCTGCAAGGCCCTGCATGGCCCGACGTGTGCGCCAGCAGCGCTGGCCAGGCCGGGCTGGGCAGCGCATGCACTGTGCGCCCCGGGGGTGGGCCCTGGGCCGTGCGCCAGCAGGTGTG